AGAATTTAAAGGAGGCCCTCCTCTGTTGGTGTATGAGGTCTTAAGGGCCCAGGGCCTTTACCTAAAGCCTCTCGATTTCCTCTCTCTGATACGTGCTCGGGGTACAAAAGAGCAGCACTGAGAGTGAATCGAATCGGACGCCTTCTCCTGCGTCCTACGCCTTCGCCGTGCGTAAAAGGGCAAAGATTTGTCTACTTATTTTTTTGTTTGTTTTGATTTTCATCCCCAAAAATTTGGTGCCAGAGCTTTTTCAAATAATGACCCTTCTCTACCAACAAAATCTATCAGCTTGGGACCTTTTTTTTGTCTTTTTCGTGATGCACTTTGACACACCACCCAAACGTTAGAATTAGGTCTATGTATTTTTTGTTTGTTTGTTTGATTCTGCGATATCCAAACTGTTTATCCCATCTTTAAAATTATGCAAACTGATCTATACCAGGATACGTAATACAGAGAATTGCCAAACGTCATTAGCTTCCTGTAAAGTCCCTCTCTCCGTGCTCCCCAAACTGACATCTAACCTCCAAACACTGCAATTTTGCGCAGCGCAAGTGCACGTAGACAGATGAGAGATTAAGGGTGGGGCGCGGGTTTTAAGGGTAAGGTGAAGAGAGAGAGAGAGAGAGAAGATGACCTCATGTCTTTACCTACTTTACCTACAGAGCGTTGAGGTGACCGGCACGGCCTTCACCTTCCATCTGACAGGCGACAGGCAGACTGCAGTTGCTCTGCCAAAAAGCAAAGCGACGACTCCAAGTATAGCTGGCTGTGTTTTTCGGCCTGCGGCTGGGAGTGGCGGGGAAGAAGGGATTCACCTGCTCTCCAGTCCATATATTTGATTTATTCGTCAGGACTTTTATATTTCATAAGCAAATGAGAACTTAAGACGAGATACCGAGCGCATTCTCATTATGTTTACAGTCAGCGGGCGTGTAATAAACGAGCCGGTGGAGTTAACATGCGCTATTAATTTTTCATAGCTTTTTTTTTTTCTCGTTTCGTCGAAGCTTTCGTGGTGGATGGAGGGGAGATGTGGAAAAGAGCGGAAACGTTTAGACAACAACACAGCCTTCAATTTGCCTCCACGTGATTATCACAGCTCAACATTCTGACTAATGTTTAAAAAAAGGAGTATGTCTACAAACCCTGTTGTTCCTTCTCCAGCACCCCCCCCCCTCTCCCTCCCATCCTCCCATTTCCTGCACTGAAGAGGTAATGAAATATGGTAATGGATTTGGATCCCCGGATTAAAGTCGTCCTACCCTGATGGAAGTTTCCTCCAAATTTCCAACCCTAAAGCAACAACAAATTTGTATACATGGTTGATTGTGTTTGGATTTTTTTTTAATTGCTTATGTATTTAGTTTGCAAATCAGAGAGACAACAGACAACAAGAGCGAGAGCCGGAATTGACTTCTGTGGGCATGAGGATCTCTGTAAATAAAAACACAGGCTACCATCAAGACCAAGTATCACACTCCGGTTTTTTTTTGGCTGCCCATTAGTGCAAAAATGCTGCTTTTCTTTATCAAATGCACGTGAGAGCTTGAGGGAGTAATATATTTAAATCTGCAAAGTGCAGAACGGTTCAAACGCCACGAGATTTGTAGCATTTGAGGAAATTTCCCCCCCAAACCGGTTGTGTTGTCAATATTTTCTCTGTTTTGGGTCATTTTGTTCACATTTAATCCTTTACGGTCTCTCATGCCCACGTCTAATCTAAATGTTTCACTCTCTTAACAACATCCCGTCTGATTTCGTTTATTTTTTTTCACACACACGCACCTGCTCACACGCGCACACACACACACACACGCATACACACTGAACAATAAACCGAGCGGTTTGATGTCTGTCAGGTTTGCATGAAGCCTTTTAGGCCCTAATTGATGAGTCCTCAGCGGGGAGATGTGAAATATGAAGGAGGATTAGTGAAAATGTTGGAAACAGGGCTTACTGTCGGTGGATTAAAGAGCAGAAACGTGAAATCAATGAAGATTCATAAAAACCATATTTGGAGTGGAAGCTCCCGCTGAAACAAACAGCCCCAAACAGTAGCGCGCGCACGGATCCAGTTGGCTGGAGGTTAATGGGTCACTTTTAAAGGCAGTTCAGTCCCTTCCAAATGGACCAATTTGAAGACTCTAAACTCTTGTTTGTCTCGCGTGTGCGCAGTTGAGTGTTTTTTTGGGTAAAAAACGAAGGGGGGGGGGGGGGGGGGGGCGTCCAAGGTTTTACGCCCCCTTGTGGTAGGAAACTTCTATCTACGACAAGCCTTCAAACAGACAGTAAAGAAAGGCCAGGCTTCCGGTTTTCCACCGACAGCGTTGAGAACTTTTTTTCTTCTTGAGTTTGGCGTATTTTTGTTGTCGTTTGAAATAGGTCGTGAGGGCCACATGGGTTCAAAATGTACCGAGCAGGACGACGAAGTGGAAACAAAAGCAATCTGCTGATCCAAATGTATTTCACGAGCTCAGTAGTCTCACCTTTTTACCAGAAGATCCATCGGGATGGTGTACGTCAACCATGTTAGTCTTTAGAGCACAGACCCAAACGCCCGAGTTAGGCTACTTCCGGACGTTTTTTTGCGTCTGAACTTGATGTATGATTCATTCTCCGTGACAATTGTTATGTACAGAGGCAGAGATGGTGTGATTGGGCCTCCCATGCAGCTCTATGTGTAGCTCATCCAATAGTTAACGTATGCGAGGGCTTCATGCAACGCAAATGATTAAATGTCCAGAAAGGAGAAGAAGGGAAATAGCAGTTTTTAATTTGGCTCATGCTTAAGGCTATTTGTGTAGCTGATATTGCAGGGGCGAGGCTGTGATATGCCCTCTCAAATCAGGTGGGACGAATATTTATTGAACAGCCCACGGTACCACCCCCCCCCCCTTCAGTTCGGAGAGTGAATGCGGAGATCACCAACTGCATTTCATTAAAAAAGAAGGAAAAAACAAGCATACGTTCAGATCAATTACGAGAGTGAATGCATGTTTCATGTGTTTTCATCTGATTCCCCCCGAGCTAGAGATTTTTTTAACCAGAGTTTTTGAAAGAAAGGAAATAGAGAAATTATTCAAGTAATAATTTATTATTATAATAATTATTCTCTTTCTTTTTTTTCCTTTGTTTTTTTGCATAACACTCGCGGAGGCCTAAAAACGGTGAAAGAAATAAGAAAATGGTTACCAAAATTTGATCTATATCATTATGGTTTTTTTTACTCTTTATTTTCACAAGAATCCACCCATCTGTCAGAAAAACGGACAAATGCTGGAGTTCTAGAGCATCCCGTCAGATATAAAACCTTGCTGCAACTAAGCCTCATTTTTTAGTAATACTCATTTAATTAGCCATTTAATATTGACATGAATAAATTGAGCGCAAATCGCTATAAAGGCATTAGTTTTTTAGACTTGGTTAATTGAAATTAAACATATGATCATCTACTCCCCGGGCCGTGCGTCGCCTCTCCGCGCCTCCCCTCATTGGTGGACGGTCAGCACACGCGGGGCGTCATTGGCTTACGAGATTTGCGTCGACCAATCACCGTCGGCCCCCTCCCCTCCCGTTCCCATTCGGGGCCGGCGGCGACGCGGAGGCAGCTGCGGCGCTCTGATTGGCTGGCTGATGGGTGAGTGACGGCCGGCCGGTGGGCGCGCGCGGGTTAGGGTTCCAGGGGCGCTGTCCGCACGAGAGCAGGTCCTGAAACGCGCCGCGCGCCACCGCAGAGGCAGGGCGCGTGCGAGCTTTTCCGTCTTATGGTCAAAGAAAGCCCGTATCTTTCTATCCTTTTTTTTCTTTTCTTTTCTTTTTAATTTAGTGTTGTTGTCCAGGCTTCCATCACAGTCTTTGGTGTTTTTTTTTTGTTTGTTTTTTCTGGAAAGACCGCGGGGAGAAAAAAAGTAACCGATTTGGACCGGAGTGTTTTTCGTTTTCGTTGGCTTTCTTTTTTTCTGATTCCGCCTCCGAACTCCATCTTCCACCGGGAGTCCGTTTGAGGGGACGCGTCAGAGTGACCGAAGAAGAGCCGCCTTTCATTCACACACAACAGCCGCTGAAGCTTTTACTCAAACCCACAGTGTGCGTTTTCTTTTTTCCAGCTGCGTATCCGCCCTCCCCCCCCCCCCCCCCCCCCCCCTTACCCCTAATATTTTTCTCTCTCTCCTTTTTGGCCACGGTGGGATATGACTCTTCAGGATGTGAGCACTTACTCCGCTCTCACTCGCCGTGTTGATGGGAGATAACCAAGTGTTGATGTGAGAGCAGCTGCCGAGGACCGTTTGAAACCAGAAGAAATGTGCAGAGAACCTGGAACAGAAATAAACTCCGCAGTGGATCTGTAACGAATGACCTTTTTTTTCACTCTCCCCATCGTTTCTCGTTCCTGGGGTTCTACTCGTTTATGGTAGTTTTGAATATTTGGAAACAGACTGAGGGGAGAGAGAGTTCCGCCTCCATTGGTGTGTAGTTCAGGGGTCAAGGCCAGCGGACCGAGAAGAAGAGGAAGAAGGGACGGCTCACTTTGTTTGCCCTGCATATTTAATTTAATTTATTGGCTCCTTTTTGAGCTAAACTTACATTTTCAGTGACACGGGACTGTAGCGCAACTTGGTGCCGGTGCGCAACTGAAGGAATGAGCACAGTCGCTGTTTTCTTACTTTTCTGGTTCAGGAGAAAACCAGATTAGACCCTCCGTTGCGTCCCATCCCCGTGAGAAGCCCCCCCACCCCCAGCTCTGATTTATATATTTGGACGGCGATTCATTGTACTGCTCTTATTGGACATATTTCTTTCCCCGATTTCTATTTCTCATAGAAACACCTTGTCAACTTCAATTGTTTTTGTTTTGTTTTACTAAAGAAAAACCTTCTAGTTGAAGGGAGCCCCTTTGAATCACTGGAGGTCACGGTCTGTCACAGTGGCCGGCTGAGGCGTGTGGCATTTTTGAGACCCCTCGTTGCTTACCGGGCCCCCGGAGCCCCACCTTACCGATGGAGATTCACTGTAAGCACGACCCGTTCGCGGCCATGCACAGTAAGTTTACGCGCTCATTATTTCCTTCAGCTGCATGAACCCACGTGGCCCAAAATCAAATTTCCCCTAATTGCTTTTTTGACGTTCTCTTCTCACACACACACACACACACACACACACATACATCTGGCTGAAACACTTTTCATAGGGTCCAGTGGCACTTTTGCTTGTTCATCATAATTCCAGCGCTCGGGTGCACAGGCCGTGAGTGTGATGCAGATGGAGTCTGGTGTGGGGTGGGAAGCTGGGGTGATTTAGTAGATCATGTGATGAAACGCAGTCCGTGTGGGCCGTGCGTTGTGTAGCGGGTTTGCTGCTGCCTGGTGGGAGATGATTTTCGAGGTTTGAAGGAAAGGGGAAGGAGGTGCAAGGGTCAGAGAGAGATAGAGAGAGAGAGAGAGAGAGAGAGAGAGAGAGAGAGAGAGAGGGAGGGAGGGAGAGAGGGAGGGAGAGGGAGACCCCAGCGGGGTAACAAAGCATGACTAAAAGCTGAACTTGATCCACGACCAGTATCAGTGGCGTTTCTGGACATAACCAGGTTAGACAGACACGCTCTGCTCTTTTACGCATGCATGCACAGATCTGCTCAGGTTATCTTAAAACGAAGAAGAAGGGGTAAAAAAAGCAAAGAAAAATCATCATATACCACCGATCAAATTGACTGTCTTGCTCACGGACACTTCAGCAACAACTCCTGCATGCAGGACAGGCTTTATAAATTGGGAACACCAGTTGGGTTAATAGGATACTATGGCGCATATATATTTCTATTTTTCCACCCCTTTACCTTTTCACCACCCCATAACAGCATCACTACACTCCAACCCCTCTTTTTATATGCATATGAAATATATTCAGATATTTCACACTCGTTAATTCAGCTAAACACGGAGCATGAATCGCTTCCAGTCTCTATTTTTCCTCTTTTTTCAAAAGACAAAGTCGAGAACTCCATGGACTGACTAAGCACCTGCTCTGATCTTGGATATTTCTAAAGACTTTAAGTCATAGTCAGAAATCGGTTGTGCAGGCCCCAAATTCCAAGACTTAATAAAAAAAAAAGCCATCAAAAGAAAAAAATATGTATTAAAAATTGTATCTGCACATGCTATCAAAACCTTGCTCCATTATTTTATTTTGCAAAAGCCTCCTTCAGACATTTCTCCAACAGATGATCACTATATTCTGCACAGCCTCATAGAAAATCCGTGCTGTGTCCCACAGAGAGGTTCCCACGTTGGCCCTGCAGGATTAAAAAACAAAAATAATAACCGGGCCAGAAAAGGAAAGCTCCACGGAAAACATCCCAAAGGCTAGAACGAATCACGCTTTCTTTCTCTTTTGCCGTCTCGCCAAAGCCAATGATCCGCGCGGCAGCGGAGCTAAAGTTATATATGTCAAAGCGAGGAGACGCGCTAAAACGATTACACCTAAAATGTCAAAAGCTACAGACAGAGAGGTTGGGAGGAATCGAGTGTGACGCGTGGAAATGTTGTGTTGGGCGAGTTTGCGTCTAGTGGCGCCTGACGCGCGTCTGGGAGTGTGCAGTTCACGCGCACACAATGGCCTGAAAGTTCACACCGGCAGGAAATACAACTAGTTTGTGCGTACGTGTGTGTGTACGTGTGTGTGTCAGTTAAATATACATATTTTCCCCTGTGTGACACAGTGTTTTAGGTATGGCCCAAAAATTGTGACGGTCATTTCCGTTTATTTCTGACCAAACCCTCTTGTTGTTTTGGAATCAATTTCTGCTGAACAAATCACTTGGTTTTATTATTGTTTTATTTTGTTGTTTTTAAATTCTATTTGATTTTGTGGTATATAAATACAACAAAAATCAACAAAACAAAAAAAATCTTTAGAAAATTGATATTTTTACGAAATTCACGCGCCTCCACAAACGGAAGCTCCACCATGTCGTTCTAACTTTAAAGAGTTTGGCCACTTTTACGGCTAGTGACAATATATGGCGGGGATATTCGGTGGAGAAAAAAAAATCTATTCCAGGTAATTGTGATGATAATGAGCTGAATTTCATAATCACGTATTGTAATGGTAATAGGGGTATGCTGAATGTTAAGTGGGCAAGCCTGTGGCTTACCTTAGTGATCCAAAAATGTAGAAATGCTACTCTCAAAAAGATTTAAGAGGGAGCAGCCAACGATTCCGATCATTCATCTTCATCAGACATTTTTTTTTAAATCTGTCGCTTCATTATCCAAATTTCTAAATTGTGCGAACGAGCTTCGCTCTGGCACAAATAGAAATTGTTCCAAAATCCGCCAGGATAAAAATACAGAGGAACTCTGTATGTCAAATGCGCCTGCATGTCTGGCACATCTATCTGTTTCCTGTTTGCTCAAGGAGATTTGTTTAATCTGTATTCCAGCAGGCAAACTTTCTAAACAGCTTCCATCCAAAGGTAATTTATAGATCCCCTTTTTCGTCTCCCTTTTATTTATTTATTAATTTTCATAGCTTTTTCTTTCCAGGGCTGAGAATATTAAGAAAGGCGACAGCGAGGAAAACAGTGGCGTTTTGTGTGCGATTTCTCTTTTTGCTTTATTTTCGGGGCGTCAGGCCGTGACGAGGCAGATGAGAGATGAGACGCACAGAGTTTGGCGGACAGACGGGTGGGAGGGGTGGGGGGGTTACGACTGAGGGACACTTAGGAATGTAGGAAAAGAGAGAGACAGAGAGCCTAATGGAAGCCTATTTTCTGGATGGGGGCGCTCCAATATATTTCCCTTTTATCTCTGTATTTTTTTCTCCCCTCTCTCCCGGAAACGGCGAATCAATCACACATTTAAGGAGGTGCCGGGCTCTTAAGGCAGCTCCTATAAGGGGGTAAATAAATAAAATACAACAGGGATGCATAATGACCGCCGGTCCCCTGGCTGTCTCCGTCCCTCTCTGATCCAGCGGGGTGAAAATGAAGCTACTGCCTCTGCCAACTCTTGGCTCCCTCCAGAGACTCCGGCTGCAGCTTTTCTGCGAAGACCTTTTTAAAAAGCCCAGAACCCCTAATTTGGCTAAATCGTCGTGCGTAATTTGCGACAACACCTCCTGAGCTGGTGCGTGTTGATTGAATTCCTGGAAGCAAGTCGTTCATTTGTGTTGGTCAGGGGCACAAACGCAGCCAGCTGTGAGGCAACATCTGCTGGACATTTTTTCCTTTTTTTTTTGAGACATCCCTAGTTTCAAATTCAAATCGCATTTCTCTGTTTGTCCACACGGTTTGGACACGCCTCCTTATATTAGCGGGATAAAGCCAGGATTTGGGCCAGCATCTTTTGCCACTCCAGCAACATGGCTCACACCCTTTTAAAACGAGGACTTGTATGACTCATTCAGAGAATCACACAACAGCAGCCGATAAACAAATGCCTTCATAGAATGTTTAGGTTTCCGCGTTTGCCCCCCTATCAGTATTTATAGGCCTGGAAAATAAATTTCAAACACATAATCCCCGTCCCTTTCCCCAAGAATGCAGAGTCTGAACACCTAATGCAAGCGGTAAATACACAGATAAGTGAATAAATAGTTATCTGGAGGTTTTTGTAGGTCACAAGTCATTCCTTTCCATCTCTTCACAAAGCAAGGAGTATTTCATGCCCTGGCCCAGATAGGAGGGGTGAAAGGAACCATTTCATTTACTCTTATCTGAAAAGCAGGGAGAATGGTTGGGTGAAAGGGGGGGAGCGTTCTCTGCAGATACCTGTGGTGAGGAGGACAGCACAGTAGGCTTCTATAAACGACCCGGCAGAAATTGTGCTTTACCCCCCCCCCCCCTTTGCTTTACCCAGAGTGGTTTCAAGAAATAATAATGAGCACAGGCTGTGGAAGGAATAATGCCTTCACACAACTATACAAAGATTCACAGAAAGCGTGAGGGTGTAAAAAAAGCCTTGAATATGTCCATGTAGGTCAGCAGACGCTTTCTAGCGGGGTCTCTCTGCAGACGATGAATGGGACAGGCGGTCATTCTGATGTCCATGTACTGTAAACCTACAGAAATCGGTCACCGTAAACGAGTGGATTTCTGCTTGGTGAGACTAGCAGTGGGGTTCTGAGGCCCCCTGTGGGCTCAGGGGTCGGAGCGCTGACTCCCAGCAGCTGGGGAGCTCCGCTTCATGTCGTTTTCCGTCTTTGTGTTTGTGAACTTTTGTTTTAAAATGTTGCCGTCTCTGCCTCAGAGCGTGCCAGGACGATGAGTGCCTTTTGTGGAGTGGATTATCAAGCCATTAGAATCAAAGGAGCTAATTTTTCTTGGGGACTTTTTACACGGTGCACATTGTCTAGCGCAGAGATCTTTGCACTCCGCAAGGGAAGGCCGCAGTTTGTGTCTTATTCCCTCATGAATATTCGGAATTGAGAGACAATGGTTGAAAGAATTGCACTCTCCCTCATAAAACGTGTTGAAACTATTTAAACAAAACCTTTACCATTGCATTAAAAAAGATATCACATCAGCCCAGAATGATTTACAACCTGAGCTTTACAGCTCTGAAGGAAAAGAAAGAGGAAACGGATGAAACTGCAGCACTAATGATCACTGATTAAGGTTAATGCTTGATCTCATGGTTTCTATCCTCATTCGTCTGTCATACCCCCTCTGGTCACAGTTTGTGGTGTCTCTCTTACGAATCTGTCAAAAGAAATCTGACATCTCTGTGCCTGACATCATCTGGCTTTTTCCCTATTAAAAAGTGAGGCTTCAAGATATTACAAACCTATTACCCTGATGTTAGAGTGGTTTTAGAGCACGTTTATGGCACCTGTCCCATCCCAGTAACAAACTAAACAAAATCTTTTTTTTAAAAAAAGGAAAGCTCCTAAAAATAAAAAACAGACTTTCATCAAGCTGATTGCTTCTTTGATTGAGCATAATGACATTTAACAGTGAATTGCCTCACTGGTTGTTGGATTTCCTTCGTTTATGTCCCTGAGCCTTGACTGAGTGCAGCACATGAGCATTTCATAAACAGATATTACTCAGTCTATATATTGCTGTCTTTTGTAAAGAGTGATTGCTTTTGAAATTGTGCTGTCTTCAGCGGCCAAGAGCATAATGAGGCTTGGGCTACGTGGAGAAAAAAAGCAGTGAGGAAGAGAGTGACCATTCACATTAGGTATTTGGAAATAGCTTTGTTTGATTTCATAGAGAGAGGCTCTCCAGACTTCACATTTCTTTATTTATCTGCTTTATCTGCTGCGCCGCTATTTATGTTTGAGCTGAAGGAAGCCTGTGTGTGTGTGTATTTTGTGCACATTCTTCTTAAACGTATGCATATGAAGAGAGGATGTGGACAGGGGGACAGGTTCTTGGGACAGTCGGTTGTTTAAGGAATATCCCTGCTGGGGTTGTGTGTTTAAAATCTATTACCCCCACAGCTAGGATTAGTGTGTGTCAGAGAGTGTGTGTGTTTCCCCTAAAGACATAATCACTATGCTAATACAAAAGCCAGTGGATTAAATGGAAGAGAAATTGTAGTTGATTTACACTTTTGCCTTTGGTGTGACTCTGTGTGTGTAAATATATATATATATCAAGATCCTATACATCTGTGTGTATATATATATATGTATGTATATATACATATACACACAGATGTATAGGATCTTGCTGACAAGCTGTGTTTCTATTGGCTGATGGTGGTTAACACCCAACACACAAATATTTGCATGCGGTGGTCTCTTCAAGGTTTTTCTCTGGGGTGTGCCGTCTCCATATCGACAATATTAATCAACTTGCCAAGTTACTCCTATTTATAATTCAAAACAGTTGTCTTTTCTTTTTTTCGTCTCGTTGTTTGGGCAAAGTGAGTTTGTCAAAAATGGAAATCTCTTACAGGCAGATACGATGTTTCGTGTCTTATTGCTGGAGTACAAGAATTAGAAACAGCGTACTTCTAGAGGGCTATTCAATTATGTTAAGATTCAGCTTGTCTTTTGTCCGACTCTCATGTATACCATTCTTGCTCCCTCTCATTCATTTCCTGCTATACTTTCATCCCTCCGGGGGAATATTAACGCTATCTTTCACTATGGGGCCCGGACTGGGCCTTGGTCAATAATTAATTGAAATCCCTTCATTTACTCAAAATCTTTGCTCATCTTGCCCCCAGTGAAGTTGGGAAAAGTTAGCACTTTGGCGTGGTCTTATTATGCTGAGTAGGACAAATAAGAAGCAGGCTGTTAAAGAAAGTAGATTCCCTTCAGCCAGGGGTCATCGTCACAGGGAAAGTCGGACTTACTGTCCGTCCCTGACCTCACTTCGGCCGTACACTCAATTTTCTTTTGTGATTAAAGGTAGTTTTGCAAGGTACATCTTCCAAACAGAAACAAACTGCTGACTTCACAATATACCACAAAAACAAGCTCAGTCAGTCATTGCAGAGAATTTAAAGTCTCCATTTGACAGTAAGCTAAGGGCTAAAGGTCATTGGCACTTGCTGTAAACAACCAGGATCTGTGGCCACATCATCTCAGACTTTTCTTTGCTTTTTTTTTTCTTCTTCTTCTTTTTTCAGGACATGGTGGAGTGAACCAGCTCGGAGGCGTGTTCGTAAACGGCAGGCCCCTACCAGATGTGGTCCGGCAGCGAATAGTGGAGCTCGCCCATCAAGGGGTTCGGCCCTGCGACATCTCACGCCAGCTGCGAGTCAGCCATGGATGTGTCAGCAAGATACTGGGCAGGTATGGCCACACGGTCACCCACACTGGAGCATATTCCAGCTCAATATAAAGCCATACACCCATGCACACATACAAGAGGTGTATCAAGTACACAGATGCATGATATATATCTCAGTACTCACTGTTTTTATTTCATAAAGCCAGTTTCTATACCCACATTTTGATTTAATCCCAATTATTTAATCCCGGTGCTAACAATGTCTAGTGTCACCCTCTCATTGTGTTATAGAGAGTTGTTTTGTGAGGGATTTGTAGGGTTTTGGGAGACCATATTGTATGTCTTCATATTGATCTAATACCCAAATCAGAAGAGTTGCTGAATTGTCAACTTCAGTTGGTATGTGAGGACTTGTCTGGTAGTGGAAGATGTATCTAGAGGATGGGACAGTGGTTTATAGAGAGACACAGAGTCATTTTCTGTTATATTTTTTGGGGTGATTCTTAGTTGGCTGGCTGTGCTGGCAAGAGCATTTTTCAAATCGAAGCTCCTGCGACGGCACACTGACTCAGTTAGTTTCACCTCTGGTGTGTGCGCTTCCATTTCCTCGTCCTGTCCAAGCAGCATTTTCAGAAATGTCTGCCTCCATTTTTCGCATCCCCTCTCATTCCTCCCTTCTTTCTCCGTCTCCTCTTTTCTTTCTGCTCTCTGCTCTTGCCTTTTCACCTTCCTCTGCCCTTTTTCTGTTTCCTGCGCTCCTCGCCCGACCCGTCTCAACATTTCTGTGTCTGTCCTTAGTCTGTCTCCCCCCACCCTCTTTCTCTGGCTTTTTCAAAGCTGAAGTCAGGAGTAAATCCCTGCTCGTTCCATCCCCCAGAGAAGAAAAGGGGACAAAAGGGAAAAGATTCATCACTTTTTGGAATTAGCATCAAAATGAAAGTAGCACCGTGTTTTTTTTTGCACCCCCCCACCCCGAAAAAAGAAGAAATATAAAGAAGTGAGATGGAAAAAGGTAGAAAGACAAGAACAAGGAAGGCAATCAAAAAGGAAAAGGTGTGTTAAAAGAGAAGAGGGTGGCAAAAAAGGAAAAAGAAAAAAGGAATGAGAAACAGAGAGACCATTTGTGGGGACAGTGGGGAAGGATTAGCTGCAGCGACCCTCAGCTATATCAAAAAATGTGTTGCTCATTGTTCTCCCATGCCTCTCTTTCTCTCTCTTCTTCTGTCTTTCCCTCTCTATCTCTTTCTCTCTCCCCTTTCCTGGCCGTTCAACTCACTGAAGCGTTACCGTTTGGGGGGCGGGGGGTGTGTGTGAGAGGGGATCGAGGGATGGAAGGAGGGAGGGAGCGTTGTTTTATCCTCTCCTCTCTGTCTCTCTGGTGCCAGCGGAACAAAAACACCAACTCTACCACCCCGTGTGTGTGTGCGCGCGCGCGTGTGTGGCGCGAGTTTGTTGGCTCATCGTTGCGCAGGATATCAATAACCACGCTCGTTTATTCACCGATGATTCAGCTGTGAATAATTTAAATAGTTTTCCATTTGAAAATAGATTGTTTTTTTCCCCCCTTTAGCTGTGTTTATGCTCCAGCTGCGAACAGTCAAAAAATGTGCGCGGCACATCCGCGCGCGTGCGCGCGCACACGGCAAAAAGAAAGACAAGGAAGGAAGCGCACGTTTACAGGAACTCACATCTTCACGGAAAGGATTACTCCGCCGTACAGTGCAGAGAGAGAGCAGCGGGTTTAAGACTGACTGACAGCCTGCATCCACACGCTGCACCCCCCCCCAACCCCCCCCACCTCACCCTGTTTTCTGCAAGCTGTGTAGCGCACTCGCCGTCCTCCCACCCCCTGCCCCCATGGTCCCTTCAGGATGCAAATACATTCATGAAATAGCCCTGGTGGACAAGGAACGCCTTAATATGTGTGTGTGTGTGTGTGTGTGTGTGTGTGTGTGTGTGGAGTGCGTCAGTATCATCTTACCCAACTCTAATGCGAGGCCGCAGAGGAAAACAGCAGCCGGATTGAGTCAGGCGTTAGAAAATGTTTAGTCACAGGTGTTTCTGGGCGACCCACTCACGCTGAACAACTCAGCCGACAGTGGCACATCCGTGGAAATCAGACGACCGTTACTGTTACGTCGGGAGGAACTCTTCACCTTGATTTCGAAGCGCATGCGCAGTTAGGGTTCTCACCTGAGAGGGAGAGATGATTGCTAACAGCTGCGCGAGTTGACTCAGGTCATTCGTAAGACAAAAAACGGATAACCGTCGAGTTACCGCTAACCGCGAACTACTTTTCGCTGGTACGCCACTTAAATCCCGTCAATACATGGAGGACGACCATCCACCGACTTTTCCTCCCTCCTGAAAACAAAAATGTTAGGAAGGATGAGGCTTTAAAGGAGGTGGTCACTAATTGTTTAGCTAGCAGTTGCTAAGGAACATGTAAAGATCGTAGGTAAGAAGAGAAAGATATTTTTGTTTGTATTTCAAGGCATAATGTGAAAGAACCAAAGCTGAGTCATTTAAAAAGATGTGAGGACATGAGAATAACGGGGAATTTGAGGTAATAATAATGAAAAAAGCTTGAGTTCCAGACAGATAGAATTGCTAGCTGCAAGGAGAAGGCCATCCCCCTGTCTGAGAGCCTCAAGGAAAAAGCTGATGCTGAGAGCAATGTAGCTCAAATGGACTCCAGGAGTGAACTTAAAAGCAGTTGTGTAACAAGCCACTCCTCTAGACTCTAGACTTTTGTTTTTACACTTAATTCGGAGATGCGCGGAACAAAGTGTGTTTCAGTATTTTCAGCTTTTGTCTTCTGAGGGGCAAAAATAAATGTTTCAAGCGGGCAAATCCTGATATCACCACTCTCTGCTCATCTGTCGCACATTTTTTCACCCCTGTTTTGAAACCACTCTTTCAGGGTCAAGAAAGTGAATTTACTATGTTAACCGGAACATAGAGAAAGTCAAGATTAGAGCTTTCCCCCCAGTTTTTATGTAGGGCTTTTCCTCCAGCTGGACAGGTGGTATATGCACTATACTAAGCAATGCCCCTCTTTTAGGAGGAAAGAACATAAAAAAGCAGGGCTGCATCCTTAAATCTGGTACGTGTTCCTCTGTGCCTGAATCAAGTTGTTATTTGGACTGGATGCTCCCTTCAAGTATATACCTGGGGAAAATTACACTTACAGATGTGTGTATAAATTAAACTTAATGTTGAGTTTACAATGGAATATCGGAATAACTTTTTCTGTGTTTTGTTGTTTATGGGGATGTCTTAGACAAAACAGTTTTCTGGTACATGCAAAGCTACTTGTGTCAGTGTGAACAAATGTGAGAAAAAAAAACTCAAAATCACAGGCTGGGATGGACAACAGAGTGTAAGAACAAGAACGGAATAACTAACAAACCTAAATTAAAAGGGGGAGCAACAACCTGAATATGACCTACTGCTGAGCAAAAACCAAATAGCAAGGTTCTAACAAGGTCTGAGAGAAAACAGAGGGTTTAAACACTTTGAGCTTGATGGCTCAGCTCAGCATCTGAGACTGGAGTAACAATGACTTTAAAAAAAGGGAAAGAACTCTACATGATTGAGAGGCCATTGAGACCAAAGACATAAGAAAAAAAAAGCACAAACCAAGTTATAAGAATCAAGCATATTGTAAAAAATATGATTTTTGATAAGAAAAATGGAATGGAAAGAAAACTTAAGCTATCCAAGACTTGACATTGACAACTTGTTTAGCTTTGGGAGGAGATTGAGAGGATTGGATACAATCGCTTCATAATGTGAACTCGGGTAGTTCAAATGAGATCTACAAATCGAATCACAATAGCGGCTTAGTTGCATGATCTCATCTTCTGGAATCTATTCATGTTCGTTTACTCATCCTACACTGTTGGTGGGAGAGGGATAGCAGCACAAAAAAGGACAACCGGTGTGGGGGGGTGGAGACAAGAATGCACAATAAATACTGGGCAGGTGAGTCCTTGTGGAGATGTGGGATCAGAAACAAGACCTCTGGAAAGACGGGAAGAAGAGAGCTTAGACTGTAGGAGATAGACAATTAATCAGGAAAGACATGGTTGAGATTACATTTAGGGTTTGAATCACCCCAAACCTCTTGTTTGGCTATTTTTTCTTTGAAATCACTGCACGCCTGTTGTGTTCCCATCTCAGACTGCTGCATCTCCTTTGCTTCACCTGGCAGGTATTATGAAACGGGCAGTATCCGCCCCGGGGTAATTGGGGGATCCAAACCAAAGGTTGCTACACCCAAAGTGGTCGACAAGATCGCCGATTACAAACGCCAAAACCCCACCATGTTTGCCTGGGAGATCCGGGACAGGCTCCTGGCCGAAAGAGTTTGTGACAATGACAGCGTACCGAGTGTCAGCTCCATCAACAGGTAACACAGCCTGCGTAATCTGGGGGTTTGTTTGAGAACCAAACTGTGGCGTGGACGACAGAGCATAGAACAACTGTGTGTTTTATGTGTGTGTGTGTGTGTGTGTGTGTTTGTCAGTGTGGGAGTGGAAAGGAGAATTGCAAAGAGGGCTCGGTCTCCATATGTATGAAGTGGCTGCAGCTCAGTGGTTCAACACGATGGTACAATGACAACCCTTTCCCCTGAGCTTAGAAGCAGCGAAAGAGGGAGGGATAGTGGAATAAGAGAGAGAAGAAGTGAGCCAAAGAGGCAGACAAAAGCCAAGGAAGGTGTGCATCGGGTAAGGAAAGAAAAAGCCACAAAAGGAAGGAAGAGAAAAGGAAAAGGGGAGGAAAGGAAATGAGAGAAGAGGAAAGGTAAAAGGGGAGGAAAGGAGGAGAAAGGAGAGAGGAAGAAAAGGCTTGCATGAGCAGCCAAGCAGGAAGTGTGAGGCCCCACTGCCATGTCAGGCTGCCTTTAGCCACTTCACACACACAACGCACACAGTTTTGCTCCCACGACGGTCATGTTCTCTCTGTCATTCAGAATCTCTCACACAAACCACTTCACACACACTAATGTCTCCTCCGTCCTCCTGCAGGATCATTCGGACAAAGGTTCAGCAGCAGCCTGGTCAAACAGGCTCAGTGTCGGCTCACAACTTAGGTAGGTCACTGCTGTAAAATCCTATTTCCAACCAGCGAAGCAACTGTTTGCAGAAAAGTATTTTTTTGGTTAATCTCCTCATGTGTGTCCTGTGTGCTGAACAACATAAGGTACTGAAATTCTGCGGTCTGCGCAGGATGTTCTGAGATGCTGCCGGCAACTGAGTTCATCGCTTGATTATAAAACTGCAGTGATTTAATTAAGTCTCGCTTTGCTTTGTGCAATTTCTGTTGAGCTGGATGATTTTGGTTCATTTGAGAGTTTTAGATAAAGTGAGGATTGACAATGAATGAGCTGGAGAGTGATGAAGGCTGATGTCTAACGACTGTTGACATCATAATAATGATTATTCTGAATCTCCTTTTATGTTGGAGACTAATTACTAAGTTTGTTTTAAAAAGATGATTGAAGTTAACTAAATGAGAGGTTAGACGTGTGTCAAACATCACAAAAATAATTAAAATGGTTCCCACAGGGGCCACAAGACCTGTTTTCTGGGCTAGAATTTTGTGTCATATTCCACCACCACACCTTCACTTACAGGATACTTTTTAAACTGGACAAAACCCTGGTTGCCATTTCCGTACATCTCCGCTTCTATTCACAAAAAAAGAAAGAAAAGAAAATATTACTCTCTGATTCACACACTGTCATCCTGGCTCGCAGTTTTTAAACCAAACAATCATAAACGACAGTTATGATATTGTCACACCTCCAGAGTGCATTATGGAAAATAACATGCAGCGAACAAAGCATGTAGAAAAGCTTTTATCAGAGCCCTCATGGCAGCTTTTATCCAAACATGTCTTTTTTAAGATTGAAACAATATGATATTTCCCTTTGCTTATTGAATATCTCAGAGGATGAACAAAAACCAGAGCTTTGTTTCTCTCTCCCCTTCCCCATCCTCTGCAGTGGATTGTGTTTGAGTCTCTTTCATATCTTTATAATCGCACGTTGTCTATTAATCTAAATTAATTTTAGACACACACCTCTTTGACTCCTGCCTTTCACCCACATTTAGTATATGCACCCACCTAGATGCACTGAGATGTGCGCGCGCACACACACACACACACACACACACACACACACACACACACACACAC